GCTTATTTACCTTCAAGCCTTTAAGACCCCAGATGCTATATCTTTTGATAGCCGGGCACCATCAGCTTTCTTCACCTGGGTGGCAAAATTTGTGAGAAGTCCCCCCCACACACACACACACACTTTCTTTAACCCCAATATGAAGAGAAAAGCTTTTTGTGTGCACCATCTGCAGTGGGGAATAGCATGTCCTGAGAACACTGTAAATAGATGTTTGTATGCCTTGTGTGGAGACATAGCTACCTCCACGGTAACTTAGACTCATTGTGTCCTTCTGTGTCACAAAACCCAGTGTCCCCCAGCCTTGCCGAATCCATCATTGTGGCAGTTGTTCCAATCCATCTCACAGGAGCCCTCTCACCTTCGCTGGTCCTCAATTTGACCAGATAAGATGCTCACCTTTAGTGGTTGATCCCTCATATTAGCATGTCTAAAGCAAGTGAGTTTGACAGTGTCCTATCGTGATGTATCCAGCGTGTTCATCGACTAGTTTTCAGATGTAGATTGCCAGGCCTTTCTTCCTAGGCTCCCACTCTGGATGCTCTATCGAAACTTGTCCACCAGGGACAACCATGCCGGTACTGTAATACTAGAGGCATGGCTTCCAGAAACACACCAGCCACCACATTAGAGCAAACTGACAGTGGGTGGGGGAAAGATCGCCATAGCTTTGTTCTCTTTTGCTAACAGTGGTAACTTTTATTCTCAAGTGTTGCTGCTTTTTATGAAATGAAACTAATAGATGCTATACCATATATACTTGTGTATACGGCGAGCTTTTCAGCACATTTTTAATGCAGTTCTTTTAGTGAAATCAGGTGCCTAGGCTGATCTTTGGGTCGGCTTCTACTCGAGTATATGAGTATCACTTCTCAGTCATCTTGCATTTCTACGTATGTAATGACTTTTAGATACTGAATACATTTTAAATGTGTGCCTAATGTGTTATGGATGTTACATGTTTGAATAGGAAAAGATTCATTTCATATTTATAAGCAAAGTTATCAAACCTTTAAATGATGCTTGGAAAGTGTTGTATTATTTTATGTACTCTAATTGGTTTCTATACTGTCCTGTTGCTCCATTAAATGATTGGACTGCAATTGAAGATGCTGTTCTCCTCTTACTCCTTAACTCTGTCCCTAAGACTCTCCCTTTAAAGAGTTAAAAAACAAACAAACCTCAAAAAAAACAAAATAAAAACAATAGTTGCCATGGAATTGAATCTGATTGCTACCTGTTTAAGTTACAGCTTCTAGTGTATATACTTTTCTGTATGTATACATATATGTGTGTATGCATATATGTATATATGCATATATGTATATATAAAAGTGTACAATGAACCCTCGTTTATCGCGGTTAATCGGTTCTAGACCCTACCGTGATAAATGAAATTCTGCGAAGTAGGATTCCTTATTTGTAAATCAAATATTTTCGTAGTTAGAGCATAGAGGACATGAAAAAACACCCTTTAGTCACCATTACACT